CCGCTGCGACCTCCTGATGCGAAGCGGGCGACGAGGTAGTTAGGAGTTAGGGGATAGTATCGCGGCGGGCGATGACGAGAGGGGGCTGCTGGCAGGATGAACCTGTGCGGAACAACGTCAAAAGAGCGTGCGTCGTACTGTAGTCTCCCACGGTAACGGAGGAGTCGTGCCTAGACAACGGCCGCTCCTTGTGGCCAGAAGACTCTGGTCACCGGCAAGCCCGCCCAAAATCGCACGTGTCGCTCATCTGCATCATCAAAATCATCAAAATCATCATTGCCCGTCTTGTCCGTCCGGTGGTGGTGGTGGTCGGTATTTTTTTTTTGCTTTTTTGGCCCTCAGGCACCTCAAGAACTGCTGGAGAGCGCGCGGGCCGATGGGGGGTCGGGGCAGGAGATCACCATTACCACCGTGCCGAATGCGGGTCACCAGCTTTTCTTGGTGAGGAGCATGCGACGAGCGAGCACAACCAAAGGAATATTAACGGCTGCCGTAACAATACCGCATGTTTTACTTATTATTTTCTTATTATTAGCACAATGAAAATCCCTCTCTATTCATACATTTGGGTCTAGCGTAATGTGGTGGAAAAAAACATTGGTACGTTTTTATTACCGCATGTTTTGTCACAGGTGCCAGTCGACTTTTTCGAGCTATTTTTTTCAGCTTGGATCTCACCCCTTTAGATGACGAAGTATTTTCTCATGAGCCCACCCTTGTACGTTGTGGATAAAACAAGCATGGGAAGAAGCATAGGATCGATCCATGCGGGCCCACTCAAAGCGCGGGAACAACCGATCCTTAGCAGCGTTACGATAACTTCGGACAGTCAGCAGACCACTGGTGGGGGTCTTCTACGTGCCGCGCAACTTAGGGTTAGGTGTAAATTAGCTCTTGTGGCACAACCCTGCCCACTCCCACTCCCATTCTGGACCGTCTCTCCCTGCTCAAGCAAGCACCAAAGGAGAAAACCTGCTTGCCGTCTTGACTATAGCGGACTTAGCTTTCCCCCCTCGACTTGCTTTGGGATATAACCTCTCGGCCGCGCCGGCTTCGGGGAAGGAGCCTGTGTAAATCGTGCCTACAGCGTCGTCGACGAGAGCGCGACGAACAGAGGGAATCGTCCTGTATAGAGAGACGTTAGGGATGCGGCTCTTTTCTGAGAGATCATCTCTACACGGACGCATGCATGCATGCTTTTCGTTTTTGACAAACCCTGCACTTTGAGCAGTGAAATGTTGCTTGAAGCGTTTTTTATCGTCCCCCAATTACGTTTCATCGTGTTCCGGATCATCGGGATATTGCACCACTCGACTGCCTTCTATCCCCGTTCTCCATGTTTGTGACGGAAACCGGGCATTCGACGTCCCGGGGGGATTGTAGACACGTTTGGCACTACTCCTGTGAACATCGCGACCATGAACTACAGTTGTGCTGGAAGAACACCCTCACCCTCCTGGACACCTTCCGCCCACCCTCCTACATCTGCCCACAGCAACCCAATCCTGTTATCCCGCTACCGTTCGGCTTTGCAGGACAACCCTCGAGGCTTTAACGCGGAGCTCTTGCGATTGTGCGGGGTGGACGTCGACTCCGCCGCCGCTGATGCCGCCTACGCCGCCACTCAAGATGCCGTGGCTCAGATGGCGGCGGCGGCTGCCGCTGAGGAAGCCGAGGGTTAAAGGATTGGGAAGAGTTGAACATAGACAGTAAGGCATACGCAGACGTGTTCTACTGCCGCCGTCTTGCGTTGACTGCCCCAGCCAGGTTAGTTAGCCTGTGTTGACAGCGGGTGCCTCTTCCGCTAGTTAGCAGTATAGCCTGCAAGTTGTTGGCATCGTCTTGATGGTTGAAAGGTGTACAAAACGACAGGAGGAGTAGTTGCGGATTTGAAAATTAGATGTGGTCGGGGATACGTTGAACCTCGACGTCTTGTGGTCATTTTGCATTTTGTCAGAATTATTGTTCCGCGGGTACGGGGCTTCGCGGGCCTAAGGTCACTCGTTAGGGCGTCATATGAGATAGGCTTACGCGAACTCTTTGGTCTGCACGCACTTACGCCTTTCATCGGGAAGCCTTTGATTTTGGCACATGTGGGAATCGATGAAGACAGCTGTGTATCCGCACGCGTGTGTTTTAGATGTTTTACTTTTTAGACTATGCTGTTGGAGCAAAGAAAGTAGGACGTTTCGATCTCGAAGTTGAAAATTCTTGGGAACGCTCTCCCTTTTTTCGTCATGTTTTCTTTTGTGCATTGTATTCTTGCTGTCGGGCTTCCTCCAGATCGAAGATGAGCTGAATGTCAATTAGTGTTTTATTTCGGATGCAGAACGCTGACGTGCCAAACGCGGGTCATATTTGCCGTTGTCGCGGGGGGGGGGGGAGGCACTTTCGGGCGGGGCATGGAGGCTGTTAAGAAGGTCGGACGGGCGGACGTTTGAACAACAAAACACCGAAGGGGAAACAGCCAGCAAATTTCGATCGATTTTGTGTGATTCAAGCCGGTAGACAGTCGTAGATGGTCTACCTTCTCGTTTGTGTGTGTGCGCGTCATGGCGTGGAGGGAGAAGTGAGTGTGTTTTCTGCAGCAGTCCGCAGTCAGCGTTTGCGCTTGTCCCGCTGATGTTTTTGATATTACACTAGTTAGTTGTGATATCCCCTAAAGCTTGTAGGAATGGTGCAGTCACCATCATAAATCGTGCGTGTATGATAGTCTACAAGAGGCCGAGGTCGTTGATGATTGCGCCATGAAAACAGGGCGTGCATGAACTGTTGGGCCAAAGGAAATCAACACCTTTTCGGTGAGGGACGAACTCGTTATGGAACCGAAGAATTGGATGTTGCCGTGAAAAGAAGGAACGTTGTTTTCGTTGTTTCAATGTAAAGCGCGACCAGCTTTCCTTTACGTCTGCGAAGTAGCTACGACGCCGTTCAGTTTGCTTGGTGTGGGCCGAATTTCGAGGGTTATTGTAGCAGTACCAAATAGGCGAAGGAAGTGGTTGGTGTGAATTACGGCGCTCTCAACGCTTGAATCCTGTCTGTTTGTATAACGTCTTTTCGTACAACAAGAGAGGAGGGATAAAGGGAGGAATGGACGGCGACGAAATCTCAGCTCACATCACACATACGTGACAACCGGCACACCGGGAGTAGAGTGCACAGGGAGAATAATGAGTGTTCTTTTCCAGAAACTGCTGTGATTGCAGCAACCTCTGTTCCAGCAAGCGAGCAATACTGTATAAAATAGGTGGTGAATGAGTGTCGTCTTTTCGTGAAAGAAGGACGCAGCACGCGGTGATTGCGGTACGAGTCGAGAATGGGAACGCCCTTGTTGGAGCAACAATAATGGAAAGAACCTTCATCATGTAGGACACCCATTCACGGTTTGAGACAACATACAGAACCACGACAGCGTGGTGCGGCCCGTGTTTTGGCTGCCCCCCGCTCTGTTTGGGGACTACAGAAATGTCGAAATGTCCGTGGACCCGTGGACCTCCACCGCGCCTGTAATATTTCGCCGCTCGCTAATTTCATTTCGGGGATATATCCTTGTGCCCTGCACGTACTGCTGAAGCAATCAACCAGGGCTGTCACGGCTGCTAATAGCAGTCTTACCATGCACCGCGTTGTGGCAGCATGATGATGACCTTGCTTGCATGAGGAGCTTCGAGCATGTTGGATAGGCTAGACGATATAGACTATACCGCGACATACAATGACTCTCTTCAACGCCATCATCATTCATTTTCATTTGCTGATAAAATATATGCATATGAAGGCTGTTCATCTTGCAACCGCCCTGCCTGGGTCGTTGCTCGCGGTCCAAGACAGTAACACAACAAGGAAAGGAGGAAGTGGGGAGAGTGCACAGGTACTGTACGCACACGTAGTCCCGATACAGGTGTAACAGATGCGTCCATAGATACAAATATTGACTAGGCTATAATACATGGTATATTTTTTCGTGTCCTCCGTGCCTAGCTACTCTGCTGTGTTGGGTGTGTGTGTGTTTTCGTCCTATTATTTATTATGGCGACAGTCCCCCCATTTTTCGTGGTGAGACGTGTACTACACTTTTCAGCGTATGTAGAGTACTACACTTTTCAGTGTATTTTTTCGTACAGCTACAACCATCCAGGGACACACAGGAGGGGGTAAACACCAGGGCTTTTCCTTTATATTTCTTTTCATGCCCCACCTTCCTCCTGCGGTGCGTGCTGAATTTTTTTTATCGCGAGAAGGGTGTCAGCGATATTTCGCTGTGCACTAGCAGCAGTACGATGCTGCAGATGCCAGGAGGCTGTGTAGCCTACCTCAGAGGTTCACACTCTGTGCGTCTCCAACCGCGAGAGACTTGGAATGGAAATATGAAGATGCTTTTATTAGTTGCTGACTCCCGAGTCAGATGTTGCTGGTACTGAAGAGGAGTGAGAGGGGTGGGCGAGCTTAGGGCTGCACCACTCTTCTCGAATACCGGACCAATAAGCCAATCACACGAAAGATCCAGAATGCTTCCAGAATGATTTCTGGATTCCCTCCTACGTTCTAGAAGAGTATCAACTGCAACCTAGATCTAGCGCGCTTACAGAAGCTTACAGAAGGAACCAGAAGTTTCCAGAAAGGCTTCCAGAAGCTACAGAAGGAACCAGAAGTTTGCAGAAGGCTTCCAGAAGCTACACACGTTCTACGTAGATGTCCCGGTCAACCTTGACCTAGCATGCTTCCGGAATATTTCTAGAACAAGAGAATACATGCCAAGGAGAGATGGATTATTTTCTACTGCTACGCAGACTAGTTGCTGCAATCGTATTCAAAGGTCAAACCGTGTCCGACTACTGGTGGTCTCGACGCACGATTTTCCTGACACGACCCCTCGATCAAGCAACTAATTCACAATGGTCGACGGCATCACCATATCCTTGTCTACCTCGACCCCTCCGTTGGCACCGTATCGAAAATAAATTCCTTCTGGTATGGAAGGGAGCTTCACAGATCTTCGATCAACACGAGAAGTCCTGAATCTGCTGAATGATGGAGGCGAACCGGTGCTTTGGGAGGTACTTGGTCGCGATATCAGCCAACTGGTGCTCGCTGGGCCGGTGGTGAAGAGTGATTTGTCCCCGTAGTACTAGCTCCCGGATGAAAAAGTACCTCAGGGCCACGTGCTTCGTGCGTTGAGAGTGCATGGCATTCCCGGCCACTGTCAGCGCTCCGGTGCTGTCGCTGTTGATGGGAACCGATCCGAAGGTCTTGAAGTTGAGTTCCGTCATAAAATTTGAGATGTAGACCGCCTCTCTGGCTGAGTAGCTAAGTGCTTGAATCTCGGCTTCGACCGTGCTTTGCGCGGTTAGAGTTTGAGTCTTCGCACCGTAGCTGATGAGTCCTCCAGCCAGAAAGAAGAGATATCCCGTGGTAGATCTTCCGTTGTCGGGGTTTGCTCCCAAGGATGAATCCGTAAACGCCGCTAGCCAAAACTGTCCTCTCTTGTAGACGATAGGAAGAACTGGATTACCCCGAAGG